CAACGAAATGTTTTCCGACACAAAATTTTTCACTCTGTATAACCAACAAAGTTGCAACTTCTGGAAATATAATTCGAAATGTTTATTTAATTGTTCGGTAATTTGATACAACAAGTCATTGGTTAGAATAAATAAAAATGTTAAACATTCTGAAATATTTTAGAATAATTCGAGACTTTTATTGCTTCTAACATAAAATACTTTATGTAGAATATAAAATTCCAATTAATTTAATTTGAAATAGAATATTTATTTACTTGCTCGCTAATTGTGCGACAGTTTAATAACAGATTATCTACTAGAGTAAAAATTGGACAAAAAAACAGGAGCAGATTAAAAACTTTTAATTTATAATTCTTTTTCTACGCACTTGATCTTTCTTGTTTTCTGTTTATTGGCAAAGATACGAAGAACGTTTAAATTTGAGGAACATTAAATATCGTGTAGAAATAAATGTAATGAAACATTTTAATGAAAACGAGCTTGAGTTCGTTCCGAAGCCCTTCTCGCATTCAACAGTAATTTTAATTTAATTTAATTTGATTTTAACTTCGAGGGCGAATTAACATTTTATATTTGAAATATATTCGTCACAATTTGAGAAGATGCTCCCATGTTTGCAATTTTGAATCACATTCAAGAAATTGTTTCAATTACTTTATACACACGTGTGTATGAAACTTGATATCGTTTTAGTATTCGTTTCATTACATTTACACTCAATTAGCGTAGACCCATGTAATGTTTACTCTTCGATGACTTCAATTAATGTAATTAAACCGGAAACCAAAAAATGTTATTATTCACTTGTAAATCGTTTGCCACTCGTTCGTCTCGTTTCACTCTTCGCCAATATTTATCGCGAAATTGATCATTTTTTACGAGCAGTTCCAGTTGAAAAGAACATTGTTAAATCCGTTAAGTTACTCCCTTGTCGTCGGTTAATCGGTTTATGTCTCATCGAATAATTAATTCTGCGGGCCCGGTTAATGAGCAGCAAGCGAAGCTTTTTCGACTCGTGTCGCCAGGATAATTGAAGCGGCTGATCCCATTTGCTAGCATTAAACGGACAACGCGTCCCCTCGAATTATCCTGGCAAGTGTGTCGCTGACTGGTAATTACTTGCTCGCAATTAACGAAACAAATATCTGTGCCACGGCCCTTTAAATTAGCGATAGGTCGAGAAATGTTAGAGCAACGATTGACGAAACAGGCAATTTTCTTTTTATTGCATATATTTTTATGGCAGTGTAATAATAAATAAAAATGTAACAATGACAATTATATAGTATATCGACGACATAAATGAATATAATAATAATTTAATGTAATACAATTTTATATATTTTATAGCACGTTATTACATACAAAATTTAAAATGTTATAATTTCAACGTGAGTGATCCTTGTTCCAGAGATCTTAATATCCATGATACGTTAATTTCACCATTTTACAGTCGCAAATTCTCAATTGTGCATGGTATAATACACCATGGAGTTACATTATCTTAATAGCGTTTCTTCGTACAAAGGAGCAATTTTTTTCACATCTATAAAAAACAAATTCGTAGTAAAACAATTTCCACGTCGGCCGGTTTTATCGTTAAGGACCTGAGACACTTGCACATGAAACAAACTTAAACTTCTTGGTGTACTTTGTCGTGTGTCCCCTTTAATCGAAACTTAAAATCCGAAAATACGTTAGGCTACGATCTATGTGCCAGATAGCCTTAATTGTAGTAATTGTTCAGCAAGACATCGACCTTAATAGAAATTATATTGCCAGCGATCGTATTGACCGCCTTTTCTCGTTACAAGCTTTCCTTCATCTTCTTTTTTTTTCCATCGAAATCATTCAGAATAAATTTTTTCTTTTAGTTAGTCAATTAACAAAAATTGTTGAGACACACGAAGTAATATAATTTCTGAATTTAGATATTTCATAAATGTTTAGTATTATGTATAATTCTAAATTTCTAAATTTTCTAAAATTCCAATAAGAGTCAAATCTCACAAGAATCTGATCTCACAGGAATAAAGTAAAGTTAGATGAAATGTGAGAAAAGAAAAGAAATTATAAAAATCATTGCAATGTCGATTTACAATATTATTGATTACTACAAAACTGCTCGCACATTTCAGAATACAACAACTTATGAAATTCATGCAACAACACACGACGCATTCAACATGTGAATATTTTATTAGCGAAAGTCCGATTAAATCTCAATTTTTCTTTAGCGGTGATCTTAAAATTAATCGCCTGCCCCAAATTGTACCAACTGTATATTAAAGAAAGAAAATTCAACGAAGAACGTACAATAACTATACTTCACGAATGCATTACTGCAACCTGAAGCAATAAGTCAGATATGTAAGATACGTTCCAGCATTCACTCGTTTGTGTTATATTTCTTGTGAAAAATTGTACTTCATTGTGTGTACAACCGCGGTCACGCAGTCTTGGACAAGTCGTGAGTCATACTTTGGTGGAGCATTAAAGCACCGAATGGTTCGAGAAAGCTCGACTTTCTTGAACTAAAAATATATATATTTTTTTCTTTTGCGTGTGAAAAATCTGCACAGTGAAAAATCTGTAAAAATTACCTCCTTACTTTGATTGACGTACGCTTTTTTTCCTGCATATATCGATTTCTATCACCCTTCTTTATGTAAAGATATTAAGGTAGAAATGGTTGGATAACGAGCACCTTTCAAGACATCAACACCTCATCTTTTATTCAAGATACGACAATGTTGTTGCGATGGATATTTAAAGGGGCGAGTGAGTGCAATAGCTGGTAGGCGATTCAAGTTTTGTAGTAGTAATAAATCGGAAATTTGATTTATTATTAAATCGAGAAAAGAAATTGAATTTTTGATGTTTTGTTAATTTCTTAGAATCTCACAAAATGTGTAGTATTATTTAAGAAGAAGAATTGAGAGTAAGATGCAAAGAATAAAAGAAATAAAAAATTACAGATAGGTATTAAAATTAAGTAAGTAAGGAAAATTGCAGATTTTCCTTTTACAATTTTTCTGTTTTCTCTCACTTATGCACAAATGCTAGATAGAGGACGAAGGAAAATTTTTTGCGGAAGATTTGACTTGCAGAAAATTGCGAACAAATCTGTCTTTTCACTTATATAGAAATAAAAGAAGAGAAAAAGAGAAATTTCCACAGAAAATTCCAAACATTCAAACAAAGAAAAAAAAAGTACGAATCACCCTGTCTATCCCGACAAATTCATTTAAAAATTTTCCTTTGTCTACGCGAAAATAAAAACGCAAAACGAAAGTAAAATTTTTACAAAAAATTTTAAAAAAATTTTCTTCCATTCTTTTCACTCTACAAAATAAAATTAGAAGTCGTGAATCGCTGTTTGCCAAATTACAGGAAAAATCGAATCAAAGGAGATTTTTGTGCAAAACAACTGTACCACGTAGTACGAGAAAGATAAATCTGTCAAGAAACTCTTCTTACAAAAGAGTAAGAAAACGAACGGTATATTAGAAAAAAGAAATTACAAATCATTCGTAATTTCTCCCAAAATTTTCCTCTGAACTTTCCTCTCCGCTTGCATCACAGAGCGGATGAAAGGAGTAAAAAGTGGGAGGAGGGGAGAGAAGAAAAAAAGAAAGGAGAAGAAGAGACGCTTGTTCCAGCCACGCGAATCGTTCCGCGGAATCTTCTTCTCGCCCGAGGCGACACTCGCTTCCGTCCAAGAGCCGAGCGCGCATTTCCTTCTTTTCCCTCGTCGCTTTTCTCCGGCCCCGGCCCGCGTCTGATGTTCCTCTGTAGCCAAACGACGGTGAGAGCTCGTTAACAACTCGTCGTTACTAATTAGTACGAGGGTCGGGATCGATCGGAACCAATTAGGTGCGGCGCAGCGGCGTGGGTGTGTATACGTACCTTCTCTGTCGATTGAAATCCGCACTTTGTAGCGGCGATTAAGGTACCAGTGTCCTTTGCTCGCGCGACACCTCTCGATAACGATCTCTCTCTCTCTCTCTCTCTCTCTCTTCGAGCACCTTGGATTGCCTTCGATTGACGGGCTTAATAAAACCAAGCATTTCCGAATATCTGGCGAAATTTTCAAATTTCGTTAATTAGGTTATAGAAAATTATAGAAAGAATTGGTTACACTTTGTTATAGCGTTACATTTGTGAATCTCTGGGAATTTTAATATCTGTATTTATTTTATATTTTATATTTTATTATATTTTATATTTTATATTTTATATTTTATATTTTATATTTTGTATTTTGTATTTTGTATTTTGTATTTTGTATTTTGTATTTTGTATTTTGTATTTTATATTTTATATTTTATATTTCATATGTTTTGTAAATTAGAATGATTACATACGCTTCATCATATTATATTGCTACTGTTTCAAATATATTACTGTCACAGTTACAATTAGCATTATTATTATTAATTTGTTTTGTGTAATACTATATTATACGTTAGTTTTAGTGAAGTATTGAATTTCCTGCAATTTCAGTTTAGCTATATTTTGTTAATTAGAAAGGTTAACTATCTGAAATATAATATCACACCATTATATTAATGCAGTATCTTATTATATATTGTTATATTATTATTTTCATAGTTTTTTAATTCATTTATTATTATTTGACTTCGTTTATTTATATTTGCTTATAGAATCAATTCCTGGAAATTTTCCTCCGAGTAGTCAGATGAGCTATTATTTTTCATTTTGTTTCTGTTCTATTAATGTTAGAACTACAAATTTTAATAGCAATAATTTATCAATCTTAATACGTATAATAAAATACAAGCTGAATATTACAATTGAATCGTGGATATACACATACATGCAAATTTCTACAGTTAAGATTTGTCATTACAGAATTATTATATGCTAAAGGATTTAGAAATTGAATATCATAAAATTTACTCGTCAGTGTTTTACTTTGTTCTTTAAATAAAATAATTTCTTGTCGTTAAATTGTGGATTCATTTTTGTTACAGATTGAAATACAATTGGCAGCGGAAGTTTCTCTAGTAAACATTTCGTCTCCAAAATAGGTGAGTGTAAATGTAAAATTATATGTATAATTTCTCTATCAGTCTCTGTCACGGAGAATATAAAACACAAAATGAAATATCTGTCTAACAAAATATTCCATATAATTTTAGTTATATGTAATATTTTAAGAATCATCAAAATTTGAAAGATGCCTATTCCGAATTTAATTCGCGCTACCATTCAGTGTAATAATATTTTTAATATAATTTTTTATAAATAGAGAATTCAAGTAAATTTTAATTATTCAACTTAAAATTAAAACAGCCTTTATCCAATAACGCTATTTAAGGGACAAATAAATACATTTTGATTTTCTCATTATCACAGAATGAGGGTGGTAGGCCATCAATTTCGAAAAAAAAAAACCATTAATATTGAAAACCGTAGCGGTATAAGTGAGGGAAAGTTGGAGCAGGCGATATTTCATAAAGTTTCCGTGGATAGCGTGGTTCACTGACACTCGGCGCGAAAATGCTGGATCACCGGCCGATATACACTCGCATAAGTCACGAGAAAACACTGTAAGGAGCGAACCGCGGCGTGATAAGCTCACCGTTTAAATTTCTTACCGCCGTTGTCGAACTTCGCCGATGAATAACTCGAGATGTGGCCGTACGTCTCGCGAAAAGTACGTGAATTGATTCTGTTTCTAATCGTGAGATGCTGCCTTTACGCTAATCGTAAGAATCTTATGTTATTATGTAGCCTTTTAAAATTACGATCCCCGAAATTATGATATTTTACGAGTAATGCGTGATGATTAACACGTTATAGCGAGAATTATAAAGAAAATGAAGATTCACTTTAACCTTTAGTATTAAAATTTTATTTATTTTAAAAAACTGTGGCGCTCCTTCTTATAAAAGTTCCTCTTCGGTTTTTCCTGTCAGTTTCTTACAAATTCTATCAAATTCATTTTTTTTCTCAACGCTTGTTGGAATCAAAGTGATGGATTTAACTTTGAGCACTTTGTAAATTTAACACAGTACGATTTTGGAAACTTGAATTGGATTTTGTAAATTATGCATTTTGATACATTTCCTTCGTATAAATTTCACATTTTAACTTTCCATTGTTGTTAATATTTTAATTAAAATTGCGTATTATTTGCTAATGATTCGTATTTAATATGAATGGAGATAAAATGTGCGTTATGTGGCAGAAAATATATGTGTTGAAAACGATAAGGTACGGAACGAACGTACAGCTCTCACTAAATATACAGACCCGCGATTAGGGGAAAATTATGGAAGGGTTGAGATTATAGTGATAAACTATGGTGATAAACTAAGCTCCCTTCCTATGTAGAAAAGTCTTTCCTTTTTTCTTTTCTTTTCTTTTTTCTTTTTTACAGTGTTTTCCACACGTTCGTGTATTGCGAACATAAATAACAACTTGTTATATAACAAAATTTTTTCATAAGAAGGAATTTCCAAGAAAATTATATTTTATAATAACACACGTGTGCTATAACTATATTTTTCACTTATTTTCAACGCAGATTTTTCCAAACTTGTTACAAATAATTCACTCGTACAATTGAATTTTATTTACATGTGTAATTCAAACTAATTTAAATTTATTTTTTACGTACATTTGTGCCCTCTTACGTCTATAATCTTATTATACGTAGATAATATTTAAATTCAAATGATTTCCTTATATAATTGAATTTTATTTGCAAAATTTAAATTAATTCGTACGTGTTTGTTTGTCTATACACTCTCACGTCCACAATTCCTTATATATACACTCTTATGATAAATTGAATCCTCTTATTGCTAATTAATGGAGATCTCGGAACTTGGCAAGTGTGTACAGGATATTAAATCATAATTACGTCGGTAAATGGAGGATCAAATTTAATAATATGCATCGTAACTTACGAATTACTGTTGAACTGAATAGACAGGTGTTGAGATATATCGGTACTTGATGAAGTTAATGCCAGTGTTGACAATATAATGGGGCCCCCCATATTGTTGTGCGCCACAATGATGCTGTAGATTTGTGGCTGTTTGATAAAATCACGCCGTGCGACTGCGCATTATACGCTCGTGAATACGAATTGAAGATAATTTCTCGGCACTTTTATCGGTCGGATATTTCAATGAAAAATAATTTCCCCAATTCGTGAATTCTTTAATGGAATGTTATTTCTAGAAAATTCGTGAAACACACTGTAGAGCATCGCGAAGAATGAAAATGAAACGTCTGTCATTAGCAGATGTATACATAAGCGAATGCTGAAAAAATTTAATTTAATTTTAAAGTGTCAGACTTATTTCTATCATGAAGTGTAATATTTTTGGTTAGAATTGACAGAGATTTAGATATTTAACGATCGAATTCGTAATAAATTAAATGTTACTTATTATTTCTTAACAAATCAAATATGAAATAGTAATTGTTAAATTAAATGTTACTATATAATATTTGATAAATCTATTACCGTACGATAGTCCCAACTAAAAGAAGTAAAATTACTTCCTACGCCCTACAATTCACAAATTACAAATATAAAACTGACAAATTTTCATTCGCTTCCGTTACGAGACTCAAATACACGTTCCTCCATACGAGATACATCTCGCACATAATATCACACGAATATTACCATCCATGTTTCATCAAAAACATATCGCGAACCAACATTAACATCCCGTGTATCTCTACAAACACGATTTCCTATCAACACAGTCACGAAAATAATAACAAGTACTACTCACATCGAAGTACTTGCTACTTACACAATCTCTCTCTCTCTCTCTCTCTCTCTCTTCACTTTTAAGGGATGCAAATTCACGAGACGGTAAGAGCGCAAGCCACAAGGAATGCAAAAGGCGATGCAGAAACGCGTAATCCACACACACACACACACACACACACACTCGACCGATATGCAAATCTGGCAAGGCACTTCATAAACAGCTACATCACTTAAACATTGTACGCCGCTATCGAGGATAATCTTTCGCCATTTCGCGAAACAATATGGTTATATTTGCATAAGGAACTTCGTTGGACAAGTGCGGGGAAGGGAGAGGGAGAGGGAGAGGAAAGGACTTTTAACCCCTTGCGCTGGCAACTGGTTGCGCGGACCATAACGAGTGACCGAATACCCTGTACAATAATTCGTCGCTTTCTCTTTCTTTTGACCTTTCGTCGGTGTGACATCGCTGGATAGAAATTATTCAGAAGCAATGAAACTTATCATTCGTTTTTGCCTTGGTTACGTTTAAATATTATTGAAACTGAGAAAATGTTGCAATTTGGGATAAAAGAAATTCTCGACGTTCCAGCGACGGAACTTTGAAGTCCGTGTTTTTTTTTTTTTTTTTTATAAATTTAAACTTGACACGTCATTTGTTCCTTTTCTTTTCACCGCACGATGGCGTCTTTCATTTCATATCTGTAGCGACCTCTACTTCGAAGAATTTAGATCAACGACATCTATGTTCATTAAATCGTTCCGTCGAGATGTGTATTTAATATAAACAACAGAATATTTAAAAATTGTTAGTAATTTTATTATCACCATGGAAATGTTTACAGACACTTATATATATTGTAACCATAGTAGAGATTATTTATTCGTTATTTAACTCCCATTATTTAATCTTCATTAAATTATTAGTAATTATATATTTTGTTATATTGATGATATTTTTATATAAACAACTAAAATTAATTACGGAGTTATTATTTATTTGTAGTATTGTGATATAAAT